TTTTTTGACTGTCAATAATTTTGATTTCATATAATTATTATTTGTCATAGAAAAACAATTACATTTATAGTTTTATTATAATTATTTTTTGACTCAATAGTTTTGATTTTATATTATTTATTTATCATAATATAAACACCGGACATTTTTAACCCGGTTAATTTGTGTACAGGATATTTTTGCACCGGATCTAATGACGCGGATCATTTGTCGCCGGATATTATTTACCGGATCAAATGTCGTGGAACCAACACAGTTACATTTTTTGAATGTACTTTATTTATATTTTTTCGTTGGTAATTAAATTACTTCAGAATACTATTCATCATTCTGAACTATGTTAAGTAGGTATCATATTTAAATTATTATTTTACTAATTCTGAAAATGCACTCGAATTGTATATTATGTATTATGAATTTTAACCTTTTAGTGCCAAAGATTGGTTCTTGAGAAGCCACAATGAGGGAGGGTGGAAATATTTTACATATATTTACAATATACATAAATTTTATTTTTTTCATTGCTTTCATATTTTACACGGCCCAATAAGAAGAGGAGGCGGTCCACCTATTCGCCCGTAAAACCGCCACTGTTAGCATACATATTATAGGTATAGTACCGCATACATAATATATATTAGTTATTAGGTACTCACAGGGCTCGAAACTTAGGTAGTAAGCTTAAAAAATATTTAATGTAAATGCATTTAAAAAAGTCCAACTAATATGCAATTATAATTTATCATTCATACAAATATTTTATTATGATAATTTTTATATTTTATTATTTTAACCTACATAAACAGAGAATCAAAAGTCAATTTGTGATTTGAAAAACACGATAAAACAATATCTAGTGAAAACTCTCAAAAAAGATATACATTATAATGTATTTATTTTTTTGTCAATAATTATTAAATTCTATTGTAAATTTATCAATAATCATATATTATATATATTTTATATTACCTATATCAATAATCACCAATTAGGTTTGAAAAATTAAAATTAAAACATATTCTTAAAACTAAATATGAAAAACTAGAATATTTACCACAAACTTTTAATATTTTTACATAGTGTCATTGCAATAATTTCAAACTTATTTACCAATAATTCTAATAAAAAAAAAATATCATGAATAATGCAAAAACCTCCTATCAGTGGCGGTCCTTGACCAATTCCAGGGGGGGGCGAAAAATTTGTCACATTAAATACAATAAGTACTCAAAAATAGGAATCATAAAAAAATTTATTTCATGTAATAATTTTATATTTTATATTTAACCAAGGGGAGCGATCCACCGATCCCCCCTCCCGTAAAAACCGCCACTGATCATGGTTACCTATATTTATTTGATTATAATTCTACTTACAAATGTACCTATTAAGCGATGGATGCCTGTGTTTTTGTTTTGTTTTTTTTTTTATTGAAAGAATAGTATTAAAATAACAATTGTTTAGAATTTTGAATGTTAGATATACAATCTAGATCGTAGTGAGTAATTTGTTGTTATTATTTATAAATATTTCAAGGTTTTTAGTACAAATTTACTGGCAAGTGGCAACTTTTACTTTTTAACTTATTTAAGTACAGCTTTGTCAGTATATATGTAATTTATAAGCATTAAAGTTTTCTAAAATATTCTAAGTAGGTAATGAAATAATTTAAACAACAAAAGAGCTCAGTTCTCTTTTCAAAAACARTAGTCTGTATCTCTGGACAACCCAAAACCCTCAAGTAAGTATTCGAAGATTATATATAACAAATTCATATGTATTTAAATATTCCGAAAGTCAGATTTTGAATAACTGGTGCATTATTACGGAGAACAAAATATTAGAGTGAGCATGCTTAATGAATCATTCTGTATACAAAGTTACACTATAATAAGCGTGGTAACACGTTCTGTTCTATATATACTGCAGATATGACGTGCTTATGACATATCTGCATATAGGTACCTGGTACCCGACTAATTATTAACAAACTGCATAAGACACCATAGCTGAATCGTATACCGGCATACCTAATACCTATATATTATTATTATGTGCTCAACGAATAAAGTAAATTTACTAACAATTTTATTCACCGGTGCACAATTAATTATTATAATTATGATGATACGCCGCGGTATATTAAATAATTTGAACCACAAGTATTTTGACTCTGTATATTATATTATCGTTCTTTCGACGCCTTCAACGTAACTGCAGCAGTCGATAAACTATCAGAAAACTACAAGTATATGTACTAATTACATAATTGATAGCACATGTTTAATGTTCATACTTATGAATCTAACTTATTAAGTCATAAGCTATGAGTAGGGTTAAGCTGTTTATATGCCAAAAAAATGTAATAAATACTTATGTAGTTGTACGCTCTCAAAAA